AATGATAGACAGACGGATGGATGGATGATAGACAAATGATAGATGGATGGATGGCATAGATAAATGATAGATAGACTAATAAATGGATGGATGGATGATAGATAAAAGATGGATGGATGGCATAGATAAATGATAGATAGACTAATAAATGGATGGATGGATGATTGGATAGATATGATAGATGGATGGATGGCATAGATAAATGATAGACTAATAGATGAATGGATGGATGGCATAGATAGACTAATGGATGGATGGATGGATGGATGGATGGATGGATGGATGGATGGATGGATGATAGACAAATGATAGATGGATGGATGGCATAGATAAATGATAGATAGACTAATGAATGGATGGATGGATGATTGGATAGATATGATAGATGGATGGATGGCATAGATAAATGATAGACTAATAGATGGATGAATGGATAGATGATAGACAAACAGACGGATGGATGGCATAGATAAATGATAGATAGACTAATAAATGGATGAATGGATGGATGGATGATAGATAAAAGATGGATGGATGGCATAGATAAATGATAGATAGACTAATAAATGGATGGATGGATGACTGGATAGATATGATAGATGGATGGATGGCATAGATAAATGATAGACTAATAGATAGATGAATGGATGGATGGATGGATGGATGGTAGACAAATGATGGATGGATGGATGACATAGATAAATGATAGACTAATGGATGGATGGATGGATGGATGATAGACAAATCATAGATGGATGGATGGCATAGATAAATGATAAATAGACTAATAGATGGATGAATGGATGGATGAATGATAGATAAAAGATGGATGGATGGCATAGATAAATGATAGACAGACTAATAGATGGATGGATGGATGATAGACAAATGATAGATGGATGGGTGGCATAGATAAAATTGATATGATTGAGGTGCCTCAACAACCAGGGTTCCTCGTTTGATATGGGATGGATCTACTGACCCAAGTTGCTCATTGGACGGTCCCGGACTCCCGGCCAGTTTGAGGGACAAGACGCTTCATTCGTAGAATCCTGTGCAAGGGATTTCCTGGGTCCCCTGATTTGGAGGGGTTCCTCTTCCCAGCTTTTTGCAGTAGCTTTCCTCCCCCCACTTTTCCGATGAGCATCCCGGACTATCAAGAACGTCCTGCCTTTCGTCCTCCTGCAGATGGGAGCGCCCAGTTTTGCAGCTCCAAGTACAGTCATGCCCTCAAACCTGGGAGGGCCCCTCGGAGGGGGGCTGGGAGACCTCTTCGACCTGGCCGGAGGTGTGAGCAACCTGTCGGGCTCCCACGTCGCTCCCAAAACCGTGAGTAGCTTTCCTCTCGTAGGATTCCCCTGGCGGTTAAAGATGGTGGTAGACCTGGGAAGCCCCAGCTGGCCAAAAGCTCACAAAGGCAACCGAGTTTCTCTTGGCCGGATATTCACCATGGTCCAAGGTTGCTGGGGTTTCCCTCCCCAGGCACAAACGGGAGGTTTTCAGCAGCAGGAGGCCAGGCGCCTGACCAAAATCCCATATTAAGTTCTGGCAAGCAGTCTTTGTGGCACGAAACACAATGAGCAAAATCTTCAGAAGTACGAACTGTTGTCTTCTACGACCATCACTTCCCTTTTCTTCTATTTATTCTCCAGCCAAGGAGGAACCATTCAGCGTCCACATTCGCTTTGCTTCCCAAGTCGATTCCTGATCCTCCGTTAACTGCCCTACGCATAGGTGCATCAGGAACTGGCCCCAGCTGTTCTTCCTCCCCGCTTATCTCAGCCTCCAAAGGCAGCTGCCTCTCCGATGGCTGGGAAATGTCGGACGGCCCTGTCTCTGTCTCTGCGTCCGAACTGGCCCAAGTTCCTCCCCAACCTCTTCATCATCATCTGAGTCTTGTCTCCAGCTTAACTGGCAGCTGGCGGGCCACACCAGTGTGTTCCCATCTCAAGATCCTGGGCTGGAGACCCAAATTCTTGCTCACGAAAGTCATCGTGGCTCCCGCTTGATGGATTGTGCTCTGCATATCCACATCTGCTTTCCAGAGGTCCCCCACATCCAGTTACTTAGCCGATCCTGCAGAAACCATCTCTGGACCATGTGCCTAAAAAGGTGGAATCGTGGCAACTGGATGGAATTCTTACTCATCTGAGACATTTCGTTGCTTATCCAAGTGACTTCATCAGTTCGGAGCAAAATTAGTTAGGCAGAGAATCGTCTCAGATGAACAAGGGTTTGGTCCAGTGGCCATGATTCAACCTTTAGACCCCCCCGGTTGGTTGAGTCTTTGCGGAGACCTCTCTGGAGGACCTTGGTGGCCAAACCTTGCGTGGTCCTCTCTGGTTTTAGGTGTGGCTCCCTGCGGTAAAAGCCAAAGGCTTGGAGATCTCGGGAACCTTCAGTCGCCGGGCCGGCTCCCTTTCCATGGACCTCACCTTGTCCAACAAGGCGTTGCAGGTCATGTCGGATTTCGCCATCCAGTTCAACCGGAACAGGTAAGGAGCATCCATCGGCCCACCTGTGTCTGTGGCAGCCTCTGATGATGATGGCCATTACACTGAGCGGCTGGCTCAATGATGCCAAAACCTCTAAGAAGTTGGCTGAAGAGGCTTACCTGGCAGGGTGGCCAACTCCAAACCCCAGAATCCCCAGCCAGCCAGGGTGGAGAAGGTTCCAGAAACTGCCCATCCAACTGAATGTAGCTTTCAGTTTGGTTTGGTGTGGTTTTATTATTTGATTTCATTTTTATTATTTTTTATTTTATTTTTATTTTATTGTTTTATTTCATTCTTTATGTTTTGTTTTATTATTTCATTTTTTATGTTTTGTTTTGTTATTTCATTTTTTATGTTTTGTTTTGTTATTTGATTTCATTTTTATTATTTTTATTTTATTATTTTGTTTTATTTTTTATGTTTTGTTTTATTTATTTTATTTACTTTTTATGTTTTATGCTTTTTTATTATGTGTTTTATTTATATTTTATTTTATTTTTTAGGATTGTTTTATTTTATTATTCTATTTTATTTTATGTTTTGTTTATTTTGTTTTATGTTTTGTTTTGTTTTATTTTATTTTATATGTTTTATTATACTTTTTTATTTTATGTGTTTTATTTATATTTTATTTTATTTTTTAGGATTGTTTTATTTTATTATTCTATTTTATTTTATGTTTTGTTTATTTTGTTTTATGTTTTGTTTTATTTTATTTTATATGTTTTATTATACTTTTTATTTTTTGTGTTTTATATATATATTTTATTTATATTTTATTTATTTTATTTTATTATATTACTTTTATTTTATTTTTTAGGATTGTTTTATTATATTATTTTTATTATTTCTCCTGAACCGGTAGTTAAAGAATGCTAAAAAAAAAAGGTTCCCACAATCAGCTCTCCCACATAATCGTTGGAATTGTTAAAAAGTTAAAAAAACTTTTTAAAAACATTTTTACTACCGGTTCAGGCAAACCGATCCAAACCGGTAGCATTTCGACCCCTAGATCATCTGTTTGGGGTGCAATTGACAGCAATTCCAGGGGCATCTGGGAAAAAATTTCAGGAAGTGCCACGTTGCAGAAGATCAGTGCCAGGCAATTTGACCCCATAAAGGAAGGGCATAATGCGTTGTAGAGCTGTTTTCTGTTCCGTCCACCAATGTGTGACTTGCCATTCTCTTTCTGGCCGTTTCTCTTCAGCTTTGGCTTGGCCCCTGCTGCCCCTCTGCAAGTCCACACCCCTCTCGCCCCCAACCAGAATGTGGAGATCTCTCTCCCGCTCAACACCGTTGGTTCAGTCATGAAGATGGACCCCCTGAATAATCTGCAGGTGAGCCGAAAGGGGCATCCGAGGGGAAGGAAGGAATGGAGGGTCTTTTAAGAGGCAGCAGTGATGTGGGGAAGGGCTGTAACTCAGCCAGGCTCAGGGAGGAGGGGGGAAGGGGCAAGATCTTTGGGAATGGCACCTTTGGGGAGAAGAGGTGGGCGTACCTCACAGGAAGCAGGCTCTCTCGAAACACCTGGAGCCAGTTTGGTGTAGTGGTTAAAGGACTGGCCTAGAAACTGGGAGACTGTGAGTTCTAGTCCCACCTTGGCCAGAAAAGCTGTCAGGGTGACTTTGGACCAGTCACCAGGAGATAGTGAGTTCTAATTCCACCTTAGGCATGAAAGCCGGCTGGGTGACATTAGGCCAATCACCGGGAGACGGTGAGTTCTAGTTCCACCTTAGGCATGAAAGCCGGCTGGGTGACTTTAGGCAAATCACCGGGAGACGGTGAGTTCTAGTTCCACCTTAGGCATGAAAGCTGGCTGGGTGACTTTAGGCCAATCACCGGGAGACGGTGAGTTCTAGTCCCACCTTAGGCATGAAAGCTGGCTGGGTGACTTTAGGCCAATCACCGGGAGACGGTGAGTTCTAGTTCCACAGGCATGAAAACTGGCTGGATTATTTTAGGCCAATCACCGGGAGACGGTGAGTTCTAGTTCCACCTTAGGCATGAAAGCCAGAGGGTTACTTTGGACCAGTCCAACTCTGACATTTTTCAATGGGCTTGAATTGTTCTCTGCCTTTTTGCTTTCAGGTAGCTGTGAAAAATAACATTGATGTCTTCTACTTCAGCACCTTGTATCCTCTCTACATTCTCTTCGTGGAAGATGGGAAAATGGGTAAGTCAAAAGGCTCGGCAATTGGAAAATTCTCTAAATTACAGATAGTCCTCGACTTACGACTACAATTGAGCTGATGCCGCGAAGTGAGAAATTTGTTAAGTGAGTTTTGTCCCATTTTATGACCTTCCTTGCCACATTTGTTAAGTGAATCTCTGCAGTTGTTCAGTTAGCCACATGGTCATTAAGTGAATCCAACTTCCCCCCTCGACTTTGCTTGTCAGAAGGTCGCAAAAGGGAGCCCGGGGCGCTGCAAACCGTCATAAATATAAGCCAGTTTGCCAAGCGTCCGAATTTTGATCATATGACCAGGAGAATGCTGCAACGGTCGTGTGAAAAACGGTCTTAAGTTACTTTTTTCAGTGCTGTTGTAACTTCGAACAGTCACTAAACGAATGGTTGTAAGTTGTCTCTCAAGCGCCATGAAAATATGGAGATCCCGACAGATCAAATGGGAATAAAGGTTTATTGTAAGCTTAAGATCTGTACAAGAATCTGAACTACTGAGGAGGTGGGGCTGACGTCACGATGATATGATGCACGATCTTGGAACTCCAGGATTGTCGTCGATATCTCTGCCGCTGGTTCAGGTCCTTTTGGACCTAAACCGTCCTGTAGAGATGGTGATAGAGAAGGGCACATCCTGCTGATCCCAGGGACATTGCAAAGTCCCCGGTAGAGCCAGGAGAAGCCTTTTTTTTCCAGCCACAGAGAAGCAGCCATTGAGCTGCTGAAAGTTGAAACAGCTCAAGAACGGAAGCAAAGTGGGAGAGAAAGTGTGTCAAATTGGTGAGATAAATTTTATTATTAGAGAAGAGAACATCCAAAAAGATCAAAAGAAAAGTTAAAATTGAAGACAGAAAAGGTTAAGCGGCGAGTTTAAGCCGTAATATTCTAAATTTAGAATATTTCACATAAAAGGAAGTAATAAGTTATAGTCAAATAAATGTTTAATAATGATAATAATTTTATACGTATATATTAGATTGATGATATGAGATTCTATATAAATTGTAAGTGAAGACCGATGAGGAATATTGGACTAAAATCCACACCTGGTTGGGAAAAAAATGAGAAAATACCAATGCAGGAGGAAGTTATTCATAAAATAATGGAATGTGCTGAAATGAGTAAATTGACGTTTGAAATTAGAGAACAAGAACATAAACAACTTTACAAGATGTAGGATTTATTTTATCAATGGTTAGATTAAAAAAACATGGAAATGAAAGATACTAGAGAATGTTATTAATACAAGAATAATAGAATGATACTGAATATAACCTAGATATATTATTATTGGATAGATTGAAGATGATATAATGAATTGTTATCATATAAATATAAATGAATCCAATATTTAGTATATCTCGTTTAAAATGAAGGAACAATAGTGATAGTCAAACAAATGAGGTATAATGATAATGTATACAAACATTCTATTTGATATTATGTGATTCATATAAATTGCAAGTGATGACTGTGGAAAGAATGCACAAAAAACTTGTAACCAATCGACACACTGTATGTAAGGGAAGATGGTTTTATGTTTTGTTTTATGTTTTGTTTGTCTATGATTGTCTAAAAATACAAACTTTTTATATAAAAAAAAGAATCCGAACTACTAACAGCCAAGGGACATTAGCGGAAGGCAAGAGTCGAAAGAAGGCAAGAAACTTAGATCTCTTGTGGGCATGCAAGGACTCATGGCTGATATAATGCTTGACCCTTCCCTCACTTGGCCTCAGCCTGGTCATCTCCTACAGGGACACCGCAATGCTCCTAACTGCGAGCGCCAGCCATAACTCACTGTTTTTCCGGTGCCCTCACCACTTTGAACCCTAGCTAAACAAATTGGTCATAAATCAAGAACTATCTTAATTCTTCCTTTTCGTCTGAGAGCAGCCGAGCGCGATTTGCAAGTTTCTAAATCCTTGTTTTCAACTTTCTTCCTTTTTTTCGGCTAGAACGGCAGACATTCCTGGCCACGTGGAAAGACATTCCCAACGAGAACGAAGCCCAGTTCCAGATTAAAGACTGTCCACTTAGCGCAGGTGAGACGAGAATAAGGCGCATTATTCATCATTACTATTATTATCAGAACATTTGTTATTTATCTGTGAGTGGTGCCGTGGCCTAGCGGTAGAACTCTCGCCTCACAATCAGGAGGCTGTGAGTTTGATCCTAGGTAGCGGCAGAGACTTCTCTCTCTGGGCACACTGAGAATAAATCTGCCAAATAGAATTACGTACTGGCGACAGGAAGGGCAGTAAACACTCAGCTCCATTCAGTTGCCCAGACTCCATCCCCACAAGGGATTATGGCAGTGGGTCTCAACCTTCCTAATGCCGCGACCCTTTAATACAATTCCTCATGTTGTGGTGACCCCCAACCGTAAAATTATTTTTTATGTTTTCCGTATTTTTTTCAAAAATATGTCTTTTCCGATGGTTCTAGGCGACCCCTGTGAAAGGGTTGTTCGACCCCCAAAGAGGTTCCGACCCACAGGTTGAGAACCACTGGATTATGGGGTCATTAAAAGGAGATGATGATGATGATTTGTTACTTCTCTGTAAAACGAAGGGAGATCCAAACAATATGCTGTTTTCAAAGTATCTATGCATAATTTATATATCTATATCTCTATATTTCTATATCTATATCTATCTATATCCATCTATATCTATCTATATCTATCTATCTAATCTATATCATCTATATCTATCTGTATTTATATCTATATATATATATCTAATCTATTATCATCTATATCTATCTATCTATCTATCTGTATCTATATCTATCTATCTATCTATCTATCTATCTATCTATCTATCTATATCTATATCTATATATATCATATCTCTCTCTCTCTCTCTCTCTCTCTATATATATATATATATATATATATATATATATATATATAATCTATATCTCTATATCTCTATATCTATCTATCTATCTATCTATATCTATATATCTAATCTATTATCATCTATATATCTGTATATCTATCTAGCTCTATCTATATCTAATCTGTATCATCTATCTCGCTCTATTTCTATCTATATCTAGCTCTATATATCTATCTGTATCTATATCTATATATCTAGCTATCTATCTCTATATATCTATCTGTATCTATATCTATCTAATCTATTTAATCTATATCTATATATCTGTATCTATCTATCTATCTATCTGTACGTACGTACGTACGTACGTACATACATACATACATACATACATACATACATACATACATATATATATATATATATATATATATATATATATATATATTGCTTTGCTTCCTTTCTGACTGGACAGATGCCGCGAGCAGCAAGCTTCAAGGTAACAACATCTTCACCATCGCCAAGCGGAACGTGGAAGGACAGGACATGTTATACCAATCCCTCAAGCTCACCAACGGGATTTGTATCCTGGCTGAGCTGAGAATTCAACCCGGGAGTCTTAACTTCACGGTATGGCTTCCATTTGTGCTCCCGTCGGGTGGGAGCCCAGCAATTCTGGGCATCCTTTCCACCTTTTTTTGCTCTGGATGCGTTTCCTCCCTCCGTTCCATCGATCGATACCTTCCAAAATTGTATTAATGGATCAAGATATAAAATACGGGCAGTCCTGGACTTACGACGGTCTGTTTAGTGAATGTTTGAAGTTACGGCGGCACTGAAGAAAGTGACTTGCGGCCATTTTTCACCCTTAGCAACTGTGATGGCATCCCTTGGTCAGGTCATTTACATTTGGATGCTGGACGACTTGGCTTATATTTATGACGGTCACAGTGTGGGTCATCCCCCCCCCCCTCCGGTCAAGTGATTTCCTTTTGCAGAAGTCAAAGGGGAAGCCAGATTCACTTAACAACCGTGTGACTTTGCTGATGTGGCCGGTTAACTCATTGGTAAAGCTGTCAAGGCAACCCTCGACTTGCGACGTCAGTTGAGCGCGAAATTTCTGCCGTTGGTTGAGGGAATTTTGAGCCGTTTTACGACCTTTCTCGCTGCAGTTGTTAAGCGAATCCCTTCGGTTGCTTCGTTCGTCACGTGGCTGTCGAGCGAATCTGCCTTTCCGGAATCTGACTTGTTAGGGGGGAGGTCGCAAAAGGGGAATGCGTCACACACACACAAACGAGACACTGTAACCGTCATAAATACAACTCTGTTTGCCAAGCATCTGAATTTGGATCAACGGTCGTAAGTGTGAAAAACGGCCACAAGTCCCTCTTTCCAGCACCACTGGAACTTGGAACGGTCACTAAGTCGCGTTGTTGTAAGTCGAGAACTGCCTGCACTTTCCTCCCTGACTTTCCTTTCCCTTGGGATAGCAATGTAATTCTCTTTTTTTTTTCCCTTTTCTTTTTGTATTGTTTCCTTCTGTTCCGTTGCTGCCTGGCCATCGGCCCCTCCCTCGGGCCTGCCCCCCCCTCTACTTACAGGATCTAGAGGTTAGCGTCTCTCTTTTCCCCCCTGATTTTAACAGGCCATCCGCTTTTTTTCCTCATACTGTTCCAAGCCTGGCTTTTTAACCACCTTTTAATACCAAAATGCATTTCCTCTGCTCAACGCAAGTTAGGGAAACAGCTGGGGGGTTGGGGGGGATTTTTTTTGTCACCGGGAGGCGGGAAAAGGCGGCCGAACGCAGACGGCAGAAATTTAGAGAATACTGTCAGTCTTGTCCCACCTCGGATCTCCTTGGAAAGTGAAACCCTCGACTCCCATTTGATCGAATTGAAAAGGCACTTTTGCTACGAGTTGCCGGTTGCAACGGAGCTGGGCAGAATCTGACACTTCCACGCATCCATACAGATGCCCCTCGACTTACAACAGTCCATTTAGTGACCGTCCGAAGTGCCGTCAAGCGGTATATAAGTCTCAGTGCTGTCGCGATCGGTAAACAATAGTCGGTTTGTTCACAGCAGCTGCTAGCTTTCTGCTCTCCGCTCTGAGCGACTTGGCCGAAACTTTTAATTTTTGAGCTTTTTCTGGGCCTCCCTGCCCCCCCCCCCGCTTCTGATTTACTAACCCCGTCGCCTCCTCCGAAGACTCCTCATCGGCTGCTCCTCATCCCCTCCTTCTTCTTTCCTTGCAGCTCTCCCTGAAGTGCCGCGCTCCCGAAGTCACCCAGCATGTTTTCCAAGCCTACGAAACCATCCTGAAAAACTAAAGCCGCCCGGCGGGGATCAAGTTTTGAGAAACAAAAACAACGAATTCCAAAAACAACAACCAACCACCCTCTATATTTTTTCTTCCTCCCCTTCCTCCCCCTGTTCGGAAGACCGATATTTTTGGGATCGGACGGCTGGTATCCGGGCAGGCTTTTGCGAGCGGCTGGAATGGAGACACACCCACCCCACCCCTGCGGAAGTCGGAGAACGGAGCAGCGAGGGGGGATGGGGCGAAGGAGACCCGGCTCACTATTTTTGTGTGCGCGCGTATGTCTGTGTGTGCGTGTGTGTGTGTGTGTGTGTCGAAGCCTGCCGTGTCCTTGAGGCGCTTTTGTGTGTCGAAACCACGGGCTGCGCGAGTTGCCATGTTGCAGCTGTAAGCTGGGAATGTCCGCGGCGTCCTTCAGCATATCCTTGTGGTCTTGCTCTTCTCCCACCTCAATAAAGAAATCAATAATGACCACTTAACGGAGCTGGAAAACTGTCTCTCTTTTTACTACTACTACTGAACGTGAGAAAGCCTCTTGGGTGTAGATCAGGGGTGTCAAACTCGTGGCCCGCGGGCCGGATCCGGCCCGCAGGGTGCTTAGATCTGGTCTGTGGGGCCACCCTGGAAACAGCGAAGGACTGGTCCGTGGGGTCAATCGTGGCTCCGTTTTCACTCGCAGATGCCTGCAGGAGGCCGTCGCAGCCAAAAACGGTGCTCGGGAGCTCTCAGGAGCGCTCGGGCTACCACAGGCACCCCGGACAGTCACGTCATGCTCCTCCCTGCCCCGAGGTCAAAAGCAACTCTGATTTGAGCCTCAATGAAATTTTAAGTTTCATAGTCCTGGTGTAGAAGAGGCTGTAGGTGAGGCCCGGTGGAGGGCTGCATTCCCCGGGATGTGGCCCACTACCAGGCCGCATCCCGTTCGAAACTGGGAGGGTTAGGGTTGGCAAGTAGGGGCTGGAGAGGCGCCCCTCAATTTGAGTGCTATCGAGTTGGCCACGCCCAGCCAGTCACATGACCACCTAGCCATTCGGCAGATCATATTAGTGTTCCGCGGGATTTAAAATTATGGAATTTAGTGAGGTCCGAAAGGTTCCAACTCTTTATCATTCTGTTAATCTATTAAGCATCCCTTCCCCATCTCCCAAGATCATTTCCACTTAACCATTACAATGGTCACTTAGCTATTTATATCACGTGACTTAAAACAACTAGGACGCTAAAGCCTTCCCCAAATTTCAGATGGCCTTGGGAGACCACGTCTGTCTTCAGGGTGGTCTTGGTGTCCTTGAGGAAGTCGGCTGTCCCCGGAGGACGATCTTCTCCCACGTGAACTTGAGCTCACCGCATCTCCTGCCAACTTTTAAACCAAATTATTTTTAAATGGAACTGCCAGAAGGTTTTGTCAAAACTGGGCAAGTCCGCTCTCCCACGGCCCCCTCCCCGACTGTTTAATCATTTTGCCGGCTGACCAAAATAGTCTGCCTGTCTCTGTTTATATCGCCATCCCATAGCAAGCTGTTGAAGACAAAATTGATTCTATCTATCTATCTATCTATCTATCTATCTATCTATCTATCTATCTATCTATCTATCTATCTATCTATCTATATTACATTTTTGCTGATAAATAAATNCCCACTCCGCCCTCCGAAAGCATCCGTTGCTACCTAACACAGGTGTGTGTGTGTGTTTTAACAAAGCCCAAATTGCACAACTGGGCAATTAATCTGGGGCAACCAAACCGCTCATTAAAAAGACTTGTGTTACATCTTGCAAAAGCGATGATGATGATGATGATGACGAGGCATCGCAGATATATTTTGCATCCCTCCACCGTAATCCACACTAATCTCGCCGCCAGCAGCACACAGAATAAACCTGGGATAAGCTCGCGGCCGGCTTCTCTTCCGGCGAACTTTAACCTCCTGGGGGGGGGGGTTAAATAGTACCCAATCCCCCTGACCCACCTTTCCGCCCAGGTGTTCCAAAAATAAATAAATACCCTACCCCCCCCCCTTCTCGGAGAAATCTTTGTTTTTCCGAGAGCGAGCAAAGTGCAATTTTAAGCTGAAAGAGACACTTTTAAAGGAAGATGTTAGAGAGGGGATCTCAAGCCCATAAGTCTTGGCCTTGCAAGGCCATGTGGCTGAGCCAAATAGGGGAGGGGGAAGAAGACCCTTGCTTCCTTCCTTCTCAACATCCCACCTCCCCGTTCTTCTCTTCCCCCCGACCCCCACAGATCCTCACCCCCCCCAAAACCAGCAAGGATGCCTTGCAACACTGGGGGTTTTGAAGAAAAGATTGGAAAATGGTTTGGCTTAAATAGGGTTTCCTGCTAGAGCAGGGGGTTGGGCTAGATGACCTCCAAGGTCCCTCCCAACTCTTGTTATCGTTAGTGGAACGGCTTGTTTCCAGAAATTGTGGGTTTCGCCATCACTGGAAGCTTTTTAAGAAGAGATTTGGATAACCCTTTTGTCTGGAATGGTGCAGGGCTTCCTGCTTGAGCAGGGGGTTGGGCTAGATGACCTCCAAGGTCCCTCCCAACTCTGTTATCGTTAGTGGAACGGCTTGCTTCCATCAATTGTGGGTTTCTCCATCACTGGAGGTTTTCAAGAAGAGACTGGAACAGTCGTTTGTCTGGAATGGTGGAGGGCTTCCTGCTTGAGCAGGGGGTTGGACTAGATGACCTCCAAGGTCCCTCACAACTCTGTCATTCGGTGGAATGGTTTGCCTTCAGAAGCTGTGGAGGCTTTTAAGAAGAGACTGGGCCACCGTTCTGGCTTGAAACGGTGTTGGGTCTCCCGCTTGAGCCGGGGGGTTGGACTAGAAGACCTCCAGGGGTCCCTTTCCCACTCAGATGGTTATTCTGCCATCCTCCTACCCCGTGCGTTTCTCCATTTCCCCCCGGTGCCGCCTAGCCTCCCTCGTTCGGGATGGACGGCCACAGACATTGAATGAGGAACTAAATAAATAATAGTTCCTCTTCTATTCTATTCAAAGGTTCTTCCCCAAGCCCAGTTCTCCTCCTCCTCCTCCTCCTCTTCCTCTTCTTCTTCGCAGGTCCGTCTGCCAGCTGCAGAAAAATGGGCCAACACTGCACCAGCTTCCCCCACCCTTCCAGCTTGCACGAACTCCCCGTCTTTCTCCGCAGAAGCAGGAGACATAACCCCCCTCCTTTCCCTGACATTGCCAAGCGGGTAGAAAAAAACCTATTTTCTTCCTCTCTTTTTCCTTATTCTTCCTTCCATCCTCATCTCTCCAGGTAGTCGCTTTCTGCACTATCTGGAGAGATGAGGGAGGGGGGAAGAGTCTTTTGCTCATCCTGCCCCCCCCTTTTTTTCAAAAATAGATCTCCCCCCCACCTCGCCCCAAAAAGATTGAGCTTGGCCCAACCCCGAGCCAGAGCTTGGCTCCCTTCGGATAAAACACCCTTTCCCAAAATGAGCCAGCTTCCTGTAATCCTAAATTCCGTTGGTATCTTTTAATTATACGATGGATTGCAGCTGTAGGTTTTTCTGCAATATTTTATTGGCAAAGGGAAATGCCTTTGCTTTGCAATATTTATGGCTAACATGATTGGCAATATTTTATCGCAAATATTAATTTTTATTTGCAATATTCATTGCAGTGATGAGATATTTGCAAAATATAAGCATGATTTGCAATATTTATGGCGAACATCATTGGCAATATTTATTGCAAATATTAATTGGTATCTTGTTATTTGTAATATTTGTTGCAGATATGAGTTCACCTGCAATATTTTAGGCAAAGTATTTTTGCTATATTTAGGGCCAATATAAGTTAATTTGCAGGGTTTATTGCAAATATTAATTGGTATCTGTTATTTGTAATAGTTACTGCAGGCATGTGTTTATCTGCAATATTTTTGGCAAATAGAAGTATCTTTGATTTGCAATTTTTATGGCCAACGTAAGTTCATTTGCATTATTTATTGCAAATATTAATTGGTATATTTTGTTTGTAATATTTACTGCAGAACTTATCTGCAATATATTCGGCAAATATAAATGTCTTTGATTTGCAATATTTATTGCCAACATGATTGGCAATATTTATTGAAAATATTAATTGATATCTGTAATATTTGCTGCAGATGTGAGTTTATCTGCAATATATCTGGCAAACAGAAGTAGGTTTTATTTGCAATATTTAGGGCCGATATAAGTTCATTTGCAGGATTTATTGCAAATATCAATTGGTAGCTGTTATTTGTAATATTTCCTGCAGATATGAGTTTATCTGCATTATTTTTGGCAAATGGAAGTATCTTTGATTCGCAAGATTCATCGCCAACATAAATGGCAATATTTATTGAAAATATTCATCGGTATCTTGGATTTGTCATATTTACCGCTGACGTGAGTTGACCTGCAATATTTTGGGCAAATAGAAGTATTTTTGATTTGCAAGAATCATGGCCAGCATCACTGGCAATATTTACTGCAAATATTAATTGGCATCTACATTTCTAGTGTTTGCTGCAGATATGAGTTTATCTGCAATGTTTTAGGGAAAGCATCTGTGATTTGCAATATTAAGGGACAAGATAAATCCATTCGCCGCATTTATTGCGAATATCATTATCTTTTATCCGGGATATTTGCAAACTGCTGTCCCAGTTTGCAAGGGCTGGGCAGAGGAGGAGGAGGAGGAGGAGGAGGAGGAAGGCAGTATAAAAATAAACCCCTACCAAACCACCGATAATGCCCACGTGAGTGAGGACGCTCACCCAGAGTCACCCGGCAGAGCCACCGGGGGTCAAAGGTCAAGTGGAACACAAGCCCTTTTTAAAACATCAGTTGAATCCACACAGCCAAAGTTCCCAGTTTAGTCTTCCAGTTTGCAAATCAAAGCCAGAGATGATTTGGGTGGGTGGGT